ATATACATATATGTATGTATGTATGCATATATAACACACACATTTGCTCCTTGAGTTACTGTACATACTGAAAGTATTGTAAATTAAAAGTGACTCAAATAGTTCAGGATGCAGGAAGGGACTCTTCTCTTTCACATGTGTTCCTGCCTTGACAGAACCATCTTCTCTAAGGCTGATCTCTCCTTTGGGGTTTTAGAACAGCTCAAGCACTGCAGTTAATAACAAATGCAGAAAGAAGCACATGTTTATTTATCACCATTTATGCTTACAATCCTTCATAGGGAGGGCACTACATATACCAGAATGGGCTAAGAACTGACTTCAATCACAGTCTGGATAGATAATGTTCTTTATGATCTTGGACAAGACTCTGCATCTCAGTATCTTCATCTGTAAAATGAGAGTGGTTGTAAGTGATTTACCTTCCAGCCTTGCAGATGAGTTAAAAAAGAAAACACCCCCTTAAAGCCTAGAAAATCTCACCCATCATTTCCTATTTATTCATCTATGGTAGAGAAGCAGTGCATAATTTCATAGTATCTTAGATCTAGTGCTAGGAGGTGCCTTGGAAGTAATTTCATCCAAACCCCTCATTTTTCAGATGATGAACTGAGGTACAGGGAGATTAAGGGACATGCCCGAAGTTATTCAGGTAATAAATGTCAAAGGTCACACACAACCATGAGCATCACATAGTCATTATAAATCTGTTTCTTTATCTGCAAAATGAGGATAATAATATCTTTATTATCTGGTTAGTCATTTTCAGTTATGTCTAGCTCTTCATGACCCCATTTGGGGTTATCTTGCCAGAGATACTGGAGTGGTTTGCCATTTCCTTCTCCACCTCATTTTACAGATAAGGAAACTAAGGCAAATGGGGTGAAGTGACTTGTCCAGGGTCACATAGCTAGTTAGTGTCTGAGGCCAGCTTTGAACTCAGGAAGATGAGTCTTCCTCACTCCAAGCCTGGCACCATATGCATTGCACCACCTAGCTGCCCACCTGTATTACCTATCTCATAGAGTTGTTGTGAGGTTCAAAGGGACAAGGTGTTTAAAGCAAATGTTAAAGCAACTTATAAATGACCATTATTCTGCCTTAGTTTCCTCATCTGTAAAATGAGAATATTAATAGCACCTACCTCTCAGAGTAACATTTTGTGCAGATCAAATTAGATAACATGTAAAAAAGTGCTTTGCAAATTTCAAAGAAATACATTTTTTTGTTTGTTTTTTACCATCATCACCATCACCATCATTATCATCAGTCAACTATCCTTAATTATGGAGGCTATGTAATGACCATGAATTTGAGCTGTAATTTTGGGAGAATGGTAAAAGTCAAATACATTTCTAGAATCCTTTCCCATAATTAGCTCATTTCTCACAGGAAACTTTCCCATGGAGAACAGATATAGAAGAGAAAGTAGATCAACTTCTGTGATTTTTAATAGTTTGATGTCAAGGGTGTTCAATCAGAATCTTTGTTCTGTTGTTTTTTTTTTCTTAGTTGACTCCAGAAAAGTTTCTGATTCCATTACATGCATATTAATATTGATCTATTTGTTATGGATGCCAGAAAATCCAGGTCCAAGTGGTGCTTATAAGCCATCCCCATTGCCTGTTGCCTTGGTGACTAGAGTGACTGCTTCTCACTGATTTTTTAAAAATGAGAAAAGGGGTCACGTGTGATAGGAAAAGGCCAGATTTTTGTTTTGTTTTGTTTGTTTGTTATTTGTAGTATCTAGAAGTCAGTACTGTTAAGACAAGTATGGGTTACACTGAGACACAGAGCCAAATAAAGATTTGGATCCAAGGAGATCCACCAGCTTATTTTTACCCAACTAATTAAATATGAAAAGATTTATTATATGAATAAATCAAATACATTTATAGATGAACTTGAAATATCTTGGGCTCATAGATTCAGAGTAATAAGTCAGGCAGTCCAACCCTTCATTTTATATATGAGGAAACTGTGCCTCAGTGAAATGAAATCATTTGTCCAAGGTCACACAGGTAGTAACTAGGCAGCATAATATTATGAAAGGAGCACAGGACTGGGAGTAGACAGACTTTAAATCTGTTAATCAGTTAACCCAAAAGATTTCATTTTAGTAAGGGCCTGGCACTGTGCTAGATACAGGGGATAAAAATACAATAAATGAAACAATCCCTTTTCTACTAAACTGGTTGTATGGCCAAGGGTGAGTCGCTTACATTGGCTTTATGTCAATTTCCTAATCTGTATTATAGAGGTAATGATGTTGAAATTACCTGCTGCATGGGGTTCTTGTAGGGATTAAATGAGTCGATGAATGTGACTATACATCACATAACTATATGTGGATGTCAGCTATCTTACGATTTCCTCCAGACTCAAAGATGATGTTGAGCTCAGTTCTTCTAACAAATATCTAATGAACAATAATCTGTAATTAATATATTTTTAAAAACTGTGTTTAAGATGGATATAGTAATTTAGAGGCTCTTGCGATAATGGGTTTCAGGTTAGCTTTGAAATCTTCTCAAAAGACCTCAACAATGTAGCTCCCTGAATATGTTGCGTTTTCAAATTATAACTATGTAATAACAACGCTCTGGAGTCATCACATGAATCAGCAACAGGATGCTCTTGCAAGTGCTGTACAAAAGTATAGCTGGTGTCCTATTTGGATTCAAGTAAAGGACAACATTAAAATCAAATTAGAATTTATTTCTCAGCCTTGCTCTTGTAATGTATTAGGAGAAAAAAAAATTTAGTGAAGCTTCACATTTTGTATTCTTAATTATTGCAAGTACTTTGAAGAGGATGAATCCAGAGGACCAAAAATGAAGCATATTACCTACCCTGTGACACCAAGGTGATGAACACAGGACAGAATAAGAATTTGTTGGGGGGAGACATGACTGATGCAGACATTTGTTTCGCTTGATTATGAATATGTTACAAAGATTTTATTTATTTTTCAATGATTACTGGGAAGGAGAGAAAATGGACTTTTGTTCAATGAAAAAAATTAAATGAAAAAGAGGACATATGCTTTATGTGTGTGTGTATTTCTACGTACATACATACATATATACATGCATATCTTTTATATATAAAAGTATATTTACACACTAAATGTACACCTTGAGCTCAATTTTTGCATATACACACTCTGGATAAGGTATATTTGTATGTGTACGCACACTATGTATACATATACATGAGTGCATATGTATATATATATATATATATACGTGTGTGTGTATGTATAAATATACATACATTTATACCTAATCCAGAGTGTATATATGCAAAAACTGAGCTCAAGGTGCATAGGTATATGTGCATATAGACATACATGTGTGTATATGTATATGTGTGTGTACATGCATGTAGACATATACATATTCCTAATTCAGAGTAGTGTCTAGTAGGGGACTTATTTTGTGTTAGTTCAAAAAACAAAAGCAGAATCAAATGGATAGAATTAGGTATAAGTTCAATGAAAAAAATTAATAACTGAAGTTGTCCAAAAATGGAATGGGCTGCTTGATTACGTTGAGAGCTTTTCATCCTTCAGATGATTCAAGCAGATGATAGATATGGATAGAATTTCTTTATTATGTAGCAGATTTTATTAAATTTTTATTAAACCTCCAAAGTTCCTTCCAACCTAACTGAATGATGATGATGATGATGATGATAATGGACATCTATGAAGGTAGTTTTAAACTTTGAGGCGCTGACACAGATCAGCTTAAAAGTAAATTTGGTTTTAAAATTATTAAAAATACTAGATTATTGTCTTTCTTCTTTGAGGTTATTCTTTGTCTTGATTGTTTGTTGAACACTGAGGACATGACTAGCTCAAGTTTTCAGTAAATTAGTTGCCTCCCCACTTACAGAATTTATTGTGTTTTTACAGTGTTTATTGTGATTAGGGGATGAAATAATGAAATCAAGAGTGGTTTTTCCTTTGATTTTCTTTCCAACTGTTTGTATGTTCCTTGGGTTACATGTAGATGTGGGTGATCATCTAATAAGATGGGTTTCACTGAAAATATAAGTTCACTCACAACTACAATGCTATTCCAATTAGGCCAGCTTTAATTTCTATAAAAATCTCTACTGGTATGTTTGACTATTTCCATAGAATTTTAGTATGAAAGCTACCATTAAGAATGCCAGATTTTTAGGCTTCAGACACATTTAAGATTTCACTTTTAAAAGAAAATTGGAAGCAGTTGTATCCTTGACCCCAAGAAAATCATAGGTGCACAGGTGTTATGATTTGTGTTCTAAGACTTTCTCTTCAGAAGTCCAAGAATACTGTCAAGAGAGGATTGTTTTTTTCTTTTTTTGCTTTTTGGTGAGGCAGTCGGGGTTAAGTGACTTGCCCAGGGTCACACAGCTAGGAAGTGTTAAGTGTCTGAGGCTGGATTTGAACTCAGATCCTCCTGACTCCAAGGCAGGAGCTCTATGCACTGCACCATCTAGCTGCCCCAAGAGAAGATGTCTTGAGCTTTGGTTTGGTGCATTTGGGGAATGAGGTTTCTTTTCCCCTCTTGTCTTTTAGTAGAAAATATGGGAAACTTGGAGTAGACATAGTTAGCAAGCAGCTGTATCCTTTTATGTTTATTTAGGGGAAAAGTATTTAATAAAGAAGAACAGTAATTGCTATGTTGAAATAGAAAATTGGTGTAACTTCTACTCGTGCCCTCTATCCCATTGCCAAATAATGGGATGTGCTGTATTCATTAGTAATGGGGTGGGGTGTTGGGCCTCCCATTATAAATGGTTAGAAGAGCCAGAACTGGTACTGGGTAGGTATCAGGCACATCCTTGCAGCTGGGGAGAGATTATCATTCACTTACTATTTATGAAGAGTTTGCATCTTAGAGATTATCTTTATAAAGCATGTAATTGTGTGTCTGAGAAGTTGAATTGACTGAGAACAAAATTACCCTTATTTAAATCATCTTTGGTGCCTTTTTTTTTTCTGAAAGGAACTTGTCGAGTACTATAAGCATCATTCTCTTAAAGAAGGCTTCAGAACTTTAGATACTACTCTTCAGTTTCCTTACAAGGAGCCTGAAAATTCAGCTGGACCGAGGGGTAATAGAGCAAGCGGCAACTGTGAGTATTGTAATTATAATTTAGAATACCACTAGTTGTCTCTTAAGGATTAAAGGCACAATAACAGAGAACATCTTCATTCTGTAGTTTTGACAGATAACCAATTAATATGGTAATGCCTTGAGCTAGGACTTTTTTTCTGAAGCTAAGCAGAATCAGGTCTGCTAACAGGTTTATGAATGTGTCTAGCTAATTTTTTTTTTTTTGCTGCCAAATTTAAAATCATATTTGTGCTTGGAAATCTATCAGAAATGTGCATGGTATGTTAATTCAAAATCTATCCACTTTTCACTGACTTTTGTATTGGCCAAACTATTTCTAACTTAGACACAATGTTTATGGACGTTGTGATGATTTACAGTGCCATTTAAATAAAGCTGACATGTAATTCTCCTGGCATTCCAACCAAGGTTATTCCAACTATTGACCAATGGAAGCTTTAGGTTATATTAAATGACTGAAGGATATGGTCTCTGAAAGAAGGAGTTGGTTAACCAGATGCAAGATGTCCCAAAACTCTTGGGACACACTTTGTTTCCAAAAATCATTTTAAAAACACCTCTCAAAGTAGCATCATATGATAGCAATGCAGAATGTCTTAAAGAGTAGCATGCACAATTTTATGCTTTTAAGTCAATAACACTTTTTCCCTCCCAGTTGAAGGCAACAGTCATTCCAAAACATGATAAAAGATAGTGGTAAAATGAAGCTGGGAAAGAGAAGTAATAGAATGATTGGCAGAACTGGGGTCTGAAAGATTTCAAGTTCCTGATACAGGAGTCTGAAAGTCAACAAGATGGAACTTAATAGGGATACGTGCAAAGTTCTTTACTCATATTAAAAATAAATCAAATTCATAAGCACAAAATGAGGGGGGAAATAGAACTCTTTTAATTCATGTAAAAATGACCCAAGATTTTTAGAAGTCATATTTAATACAAATCAATAGTGTGAATGAGCAGCCAACCTTAGTGCCCCTCTACCTCAAAAAATATTGACTTAATAAAAGCATAGTGTCCATATATCAGGAGAGTGTTTCATATGTGTATCCTTAAAATATTCAGAGAAAATGAAGAATGCTGTATTGGCTGTGGTAAAATTATGAAAGAAAATGGATATGAGTTACACCAACAGGCATATATAGGGGTGTCCACACTGATGAGATCATAGAGCCATTTGAGTATTCTTGTAGAGCAGGGGAACCTGTAGCCTCAAGGCCACACGTGGCCTTCTAGGTCCTTGGGTGTGGCTTTTTGATTGAGCCTAAATTCTGCAGAATAAATCCTTTTATTAAGGGCATTTGTTCTGTGAGCAAATCTTCCTTCCTTTCTTCCTTCCCTCCTTCCTTCCTTCTTTTCTTCGTTCCTTCTTTTCTTCCTTCCTTCTGTCCTCCCTCTGTCCTTCTCTCTTCCTCCCTCCCTCCCTTTCTCTCTCATCTATTTTTCCATCCATCCATCCATTTAACTACCCTGCATTTCTAATCCTTTGCAAAGTCTTATTGTTTCTTCTACCAAAACATCTTTCACATACCACCACTTCTCTTTCCTCACATAGCCACCACCATAGTTTACCCTTTCAGGTCTCACCTGGTCAATTTAGAACCTGAAATAAGTCTCCCTGCATCAGATCTCTTCCCCTCTCTAATCCATCCTCCACACACCTATCAAAAGTGGTCATCCTAAAAATGTCTGGCTATCTCACTCCCCTTCTCAATAGGCTTCAGTGACTCCCTGTTAGCTCCAGTAGCAAATACAAAGAGTACAACATTTGGCATTTAAATTCCTTACAACCTGTTCCAGCCTACGTTTCTATGCTTAATAAACATTGTCTCCCTTCACGTAATCTATGGACTACCCAAGTTGGCCTTCTTATTTCCTTTCACACAACATTTGTGTTTATACTTTTGCATAGGCCAAGCCTCAAATTCTGTCTCCTCATCTCTCCCTTTTAGGGTGCTATGTACCTACAAAGCTCAGTTCATTGTCCCTTGCTGCATGAAACCTCCTTTCTGGAACATGCCCCTCCCACCACATAATGATTAGCATCTCTCTTATCCCCCAGGGAAGACCTTGTATTTGTGTGTGTGTGTGTGTGTGTGTGTGTGTGTGTGTGTGTGTGTGTGTGTGTGCATATGTACGCATATTCATATATACATATATGTACACACACATATATAATATACTTAGATGTGTACATGTTATTTCTGTTAACAAAATGTAAGTTCATTGAGGGCAAGGCCTGTTTCATTTTTGGCGCTGTATGCCCAGCACCTTTTAAAGTCTCTAGCCCATAGCAAACAATAAATACATGCTGTCCTCTAACCTGTATCCTAACTATATCCATCTCTCCTCATCTGTCTGTCTATCCATCTGTCTGTCTATCTATCTACTTATCATTTATATATCTATATAAAACCATGTGTATGTAACATATAGAGTATAGAGCTTAGGATGTATATGAGAATCATAGAATTTCAGGACTGGAAGGATCTAGAAAGATTTGTACAGAATAAAAACTAGTGGGTTGGGTTGAAGCATGCACCATTGGAGGGAGTACCCACCCACAAGATGAATTGAAATTCTGGTTCTAAGTTTAGAGCGACACGTAAAAAAGAACTACATGGTCTAGTGAAAGCTTTTTCCTGCTGCTTCCCATGAAATTTGCTGAACAGTTTAGAATTCAATATTATTTTGTGTTATCTTTTTTCCAATCCCTTTAATTTTTACCTGTTCAGGTGAAAAAACAAATGCCATTTAAGACTCTGTTAGGATCCTTGGCTTATAAAAGGTGGGAACCTTGAGAAATGCTTGAAAAAGAGTCTGTTTGCAGGATAGTAATGTTGTCACGTTATAGGAAATGGAAAAAAACAACAACGTATTATCTGTAGATTCTGATAGAACGAACAGAATTATTTATGTATGTAGTGTAGTAGAAGCACTTACGAACATAATTTGTTACCTGATTGACAGACCCTTATTTGATCCTTATTAGCAGTTCTCATCACAGTTGTCAAGAATGAATGATGAACATGTGGAACACTGAATGCTCTGACAGACAGCCTAAGTTACAATAATAGTGAAAGTGCCAATTAAAGTGAAAAAAAAGCATCCTTTTATTTGGGGACAGTTTATTATCATTTTCCTTCAATTATAGGGCAGTTTATCCACACTCAGGGATTGTGTCCTTGAAAGGCTGTTTTTCTACTAATGTGTTTAGGAAATATCTGATAGTGTTGAGAATAGACTTATCTATAATTTGTAAAATTGTCTATTGCCTTTTCTTTGCCCCCTTACCAGCCAGAGGAGGAAAGGCTGATGAAGGAGGCACAGACATGCACTCACGTTTGTTGAGAACAAGGTGTAAGCCCTATTAACAGACCCATAGGGCTGTCAAACAGCTTCCTCTATCTCTGCAGTAATTTTCCTCAATAATCCTTCTGCTGAAATTTTCTAGCTATATTCACTGTTTTATCTAAGGCTAAAGAAGGAGGAGACCACCTGAGGTGATCAGATGGCCCGTATTAGGTGAGCGGGTTTTATTTCATGTTTATAATCAGTCCCTGCTTTACCCTGATTCCAGTTAACATTTCTGGGCCTACATTTTCTCACCTGGAAAAGGAAGGGTTTGGAATACAATTTTAAGGTCCCATCTAAATCTAGATGCTTTTAGGAAATTTGCTCACTTTTCCAGCTCATATTGTTGAATATTGTGATAGGACCAATATTTATCAGAAGTTAACCCCTTGCCACTTAACATAAGTCAGACTAGTTTTTCCCTGAAAAGTGACAAAACAGTCCTTGGGACTTAATGGAGATGGGGTTTGGATAGAGAAAGAGGTTCCCAAGGCTCAAAGTACTTGACAACTTCCTCGTAGCCTTTGGCCATATTGACCTGGCTTCCTGGTCACAGGCCCACCCACATGGGGCCTTGGCCCTTCCGATTTGGTTGCTGTCCTGAGGCTTCTGAGTGACAGCCCTGTGGCCCTGCTAACCAAATCTGTTTTTCTCAGGATAGGAGGATAGCCACTAGCTAACAGTATCCTCATTGAAAATCCTTTCTATTCTGTGGCTAAGTGATCCTTTTTTTTTTTTATTAACTATGGAATGACATATGAGGGCTTCATCTAACCAGAGTTGGATTTTCCCCTAACAGTTGGTTTGCCAATCACTAGGTATACCATCTAGGGCTGGAGGAAGACTTGCTCAATTTTTTTTTCTTTTTTGAGAAATGAATCTTCAAGGTCAGTGTTTTTCACTTTGCTTGTTTTACTGAGACCAAGAGAAATCACTTTAAACATCCCTGCATTAGCTAGAGAGAGACTTTGGGCAACCAACCAATTAAAATGAAAAATATATCCTTTTATTTGGGGCAGTAGCATTTCCCTTCAGTTGTATTTTTTTTTTAATGATGAAGCAGTTTTTAAGAAGTACTTCAAAATTCAATTGTAGAAGGGAAAAATATTACCAGTCAGATGTTTAATGTCTATTATAGCTAACAGTTCATAATCTTGATTAAAGCACAAACTCATATAGTTCACAGTATATAATGACCTTGGACTAGACCATGCTTCCCATCCCACCCAGCTAATCCACACTGTCCAATTACCATAATCAAATCAACACTACTAGAAAGGACTTGGGCTTGTCAATGTCCTCCCATAGGGTTCCACTCCCCACCCACAGTGGTTTCCTTCCCTTCCCTGGCTGCTGGTCCCTTTTAATGCCTTGCCCACTGAATTAGAATGGAAGCTCCCTGAGGGAAGAGATTGCTTTGCTTTTGTTCTGTAGGAGTAGTACTAGGGGCAGCACTTGACCTATAATAAGCACTAAATAAATGCTATCCATTTATTCATTCAACCTAGCTCCTTCTAGGTAGTCCTACTCTGATGCTTCTTTATGTTCTGATTGTGATTCTTGGTTCCTGAAGGATCCCAAAGGAGGCCAAATTATTCAGGTCTTCCTAAACTAGAAAAGCTTCAGGCGTGTATGTGTGGTGGGATG